TTTGACATAAAGTGACTGCCCAGCTGAGCTAACAATTGCCATCACCAGAAATAATAGCATTTTGCAATCCTAGCTCATATTTTTATTGTTACTTGATAATGTCATATGTATTGGTTTGAAAATAGTCAGGCCTTTCTGCAAACTGTCTGTCTTTCATGAGTCTCTTTATTCATTTTTTTCGACTGTTATTAACTTTCAGTTATGGGCTGGAAACTGATCCGTGTGCATGAAAATGTTTATTTCCTTTGATTACCAAAAAGGCAGATGCTTTACTCAAAACATCCCGCTATTTACTCTGTGATTTTCATAGTGATCGAGTCCCAGATAGTTGACTAATACAACAGTGGCTACATGCTATCTGGAATCCTCTCTGAAAAACCTTATCCTACCAAAATGAATTTCATGATTCTAAGTACTATTTATGTTAGGTACACGGAGCGAGGCACTTTATCGAAGTTAGTGCTTGTGATTCCCCCACAGGTTTTTCTTATTATTCCCATTTTATATGTGGAAAGTGACCTTGAAAGGTTAAGCAACTTGCCAAAGGTCACACAACTAGTTGAGTTGAGAAGCCAGGATTAAAACTCAGGATTCCAAAATTGTCTCTGTACTCAGCCTTCCAAATATCAGAGTAGGTTTCTTTAAAAGCCATTTCATAATAGTTTTTATCTTTGCTCTCTAACGCTGGGTACATAATTAGAATAGATAGTTTCATTTCCATGCTCATGTCACCCATACTTTAAACTATACAAAGGAGAGGGACTCGGTATTGTTTATCCTTGGTTCCCTGAGACCTAACACAGTGCCTGGAATAGAGTAGAGGCTTAGGACATATTTGTTAGATATCTGCTGAGATTCTGTAGAGGTCCAGAAGGCAACTTGCATACATAAGAGTCAAATGTGTACATTTAGAGCGATGACCCAGCAAATCAAACGCAGCCTGCAAGGGCAGATTTTCTAACTGAATGCCATGATTAGGAAGAAACCACAGACCAGCCACATGTCTCAGCATGACTCCCAGAGATGAAATTCTGCTTCACAACAGAGGCATTTTGTCTTTGTTTACAGACAGTGGAATGTCTTTGGCAGGACTTTAATGATTCCACTTCAGCAGCATTTTGACAAGCAAGTTTAGCAATGGATGAGACCAACAATAGCAAATCAACAGTGAAAAGTTCACTCCCAAGTCAAGACCAAACATTTCATTTGAATATTTTACTTGGCAGCAAGTGGCGGATTCGCTGAACAGTTATTTAGAATTTGACATGATAACAGGGAAGAAAGGGCACTTCCGCACAGAGCACTTCCAAGCACCTACTGCACGGCAGGCACTGGAGCACACATGGGTCAGAATGCTGTTGGGTCTTGTGTCTTATTTTACTGTTTGATAGACCTGATTGATCTACCTCAGCTTTCAAAGTCTTCGGGTGTCAACATTGACTATTTCAAGTATGGAAGGGAACTGGAAAAAGAACACTGAATTAAAAGTTAGGCAGAAGTAAATTTAAATTATGCCTCTTCACTAACTGGTCAAGTGACCTTGGGCAAGTCCTTCACCTTCAGTGCTCTCAGTTATAAAATGCAGGAGTCCATGGACTGTCTCTTCTACTAGACCACAGTGCTGTCAAATATGACTATGTCTTATTCATATTTGCAGTTTCCATCATAAGCACACGATGCTATTTTTGGTGAGTTGAATGTGTGCAGGGACAGTGGATGCATGATTGATTTATGGTTGGAGGGGGATGACTCCTGTTTCTTAATGGAGGCACTACTGAAATGTTAGATAGGGTAATTAATGTTTTGTTCTGTAGATCATATCACTGTTTTGGTCCCTAGGCACTGAAGGCCAGCAGTAATTCCATGTCATTAAAATACAAGCACACAAAAATGTTCCACGCTTTTTCAAACCCTCCCATGGGGCAGCTCCTACTCAGCCCTTCTCTCTCTGACATTCACCAATACTGTTCTGCAAATTAAAAGTGATGTATTTCAAATGCCATTTACTGAGACTCTCCTTCTTTTTCTTACCCCAGGCATATGCTATGATGTTGTCATTGTCTGAGAAGGAGTCCCTCCATTCGACATCCCACAGTTCTCCCAACGTGTGGCACAGTATGGCAAGGGCTGCCGCGGAATCCAGCGCCATCCAGTCCATAAGCCACGTATGACATTCCCAAGGTTGACAGAGTGGGACCAAGTCCAGCAGTAGCACGGCTCTTTCCTATAGGACTATTTAAAAGACTGCTGAGCAGAATGCCTTAGAAACCCAAAGGGTCACTCATTTAAAGTCCGGTGACCTTAAACTGAATGAGTAATAAAAGAAAGAAAGCAAAAGAAAGAAAGAAAAAAGGAAACTATTTATTCTCGATATTTTGTTTTGCACAGCAAAGGCAGCTGCTGACTTCTGGAGGATCGATGCGACTGAGAGCGATTCAATGAACATGAAAACCTTGCTGGGGAAAAGGCATCTTCCAGTCCACCCTGCCCCAGAGAGGGAGTGGGGGTGGGAGGGGCAGTTGAGATGGCAGCATTGATAGGAACGAACACTCCATAGAAACTGAATTCTTTTTTTTTTTTTTGTCCAAGATCACCTGACACATGATTGGGAACAGTTGCTTTTAATTACAGATTTAATTTTTTTTTCTTTGTTAAAGTTTTCTGCAATTTAACCCTTTGAAGATGGAAGTAGTTGGATGAAATGCACACTCGATTAATAGAGAAACTGATAACAGGAAGTACTTGTTTCCCATTAACTTTTTGCCTTCTTACGTACATTGTTTAAAATAGGGAGAAAGGGTATGTGTATATTGTAAACTATGGATGTTCAATGCTCAAAACAAGGTTAAGTAACCTGTCCATCACCAGTATCACTGTACCACTACACTAATACATGTTTGCCAAATCCTTGTAATAACATCTTTTATTTTAGACAATCATGTCACTTGTTTTTTTTTAATGTTTAATTTTTGTGTGTGTTGCGTGTATCCTGTATTTATTTGTTGGCAAACTATTGTTTGTTGATTAAAATAGCACTGTTCCAGTCAGCCACTACTTTCTGAAGTCTGAGGCACGCCCCTTTCCGAATTTCCAAGGACCAAGGTGACTAGACCTGTGTATGGGGGTGGTGCCAAACGGTGTTCGGCTTTTCTTAACATTCCTTTTGTTGTTGTTGTTGTTTTGTTTTCCTTTCTTAATGAGCTAAATGCGAATAGATGCAACTTAGTTTTTGTAATACTGAAATCGATTCAATTGTATAAACGATTATAATTTCTTTCATGGAAGCATGATTCTTCTGATTAAAAACTGTACCCATATTTTATGCTGGTTGTCTGCAAGCTTGTGCGATGTTATGTTCATGTTAATCCTATTTGTAAAATGAAGTGTTCCAGACCTTATGTTAAAAGAGAGACGTAAATAACAGACTGTATTCAGTTATTTTGCCCTTTATCGAGGAACCAGATTTGTTTTCTTTTTGTTTGTAATCTCATTTTGAAATAATCGGCAAGTTGAGGTACTTTCTTCAAATGCTTTGTACAATATAAACTGTTATGCCTTTCAGTGCATTACTATGGGAGGAGCAACTAAAAAATAAAGACTTACAAAAATGGTTCTTTTTCCCACTGTGTGGTATTTTCCCTTCTCAGGCAATTTCAGTTTCCCTTTGGGATCCAGTGATTTAAAGATACGATGTCTGGGGTCCTGATGCCCTTCCAGATACATGGAATGTAGAGCGTGCTTTTATTGTTTTGAGATGACATAAGGGATAGCCCTTGGCCCATAGGAGTTGGGGTATCTCCTACTTATCGTTCTCAACTTTCTCTCTGTGGTACAAAGTCAGTGCTAATGTGCAGCTCTCTGCTCTCATTCCATGTCTATGGCACCCGTTTTAATTAGGGCAGAATAACCTATAGTTTTTCAACTGAACTTAATGTAGTGCATGCCAAAGGAGTTTTTGCTTTTGATTCTATAAATACTATTAACTGATTCACAAGGGGGAAGAAACAAGCCCTTTAAATTTTCTGTGATCTTTTTAAGTCTGCCCATGTGCAATTGTCATGTTTTCATGGTTATAAACAGAAGATAGATATAATTTTGTGTTTTCTTTCTTTAATAAGGCAAAAAATACCCCTGTATTTTTAGTATATTGCTACAAATTCTTCATAATGATCAGTTTAGCAGTTGCTCCATAATCCATCAGGTTTGATCTGTAATTTCTTCAATCATTTCCATTTTGTTGAAAATTTAAGTTTTCTACTTCTCACTTATGTAAGTAGTAGTACTCTAATTTTTATGATCATAATTGTATGTGTGTTATATATGTACACACAGGGTTGGAATGTGAAGAGTGGTGTTTTCATATGACATTCTCTGGTGGGGGGCCAATTATGAACATATTTTTCTGTTTAAATATAAGCCAATTGTCTTAGAATATGGCTATTGCAATTTAGGCCAGTTGTAGAGGTTTTAAGGCCTGAAAAATAAATAAGTATGACACATGGAAATAGATCCAGACACATTTTCTGTATTCATTTATTTATTTATTCTTAACCACAATGCCAGATACATAAACTTCCTCATCCTTTCTAAATGTCAGTAGTATAGAAATTAAATATATGGGGTATAAATAATCAATTTTTAAAAAATAAAAAGTGTGCACCAGAAGAAGTATTCAGAAAATACATTTAAGCTGTAAATCTGGTCTATAAAGAAGAAGACGAATCTAGTATTTGTGACAGAAGAACAACACACTTGAGAAAGTGGAGATCTGGAACATGCACATTTTTCTTTTTTTAAAGAATATATCCATAAATTCTGAAGCAATTCAAATGCCCCCCATGCACTGAATTCTTATTGGACTCTCAGCCTGACATTTCAGTTGTTTGCTAATACTAGTCCCTCCAAATTCCAAAAAAGCTTTCAAGCCTTCCATTTCTGCTTTCCTTTCCATTCATTTCACCAGCAGCCCTTCACAGCATGGCCCTGTGGGGAGGCAATAAGATATGGAGAAGATAATACTGGATTTGGATATAGCTCTACTGGCTCTGAGGTCTCAGACAAGTCACACCCTTCCCAAAACCTCATCTGTGAAACCAGGGGAATATTACCTGCTTCTCCTGCCACTGCATTAGGTTTCTGTGAAGGTCAAAAATATAAAAGTAGCCCGGCCAGCTTGGCTCAGTGGTTGAGCATCCACCTGTGATCCAAGAGGTAATTATTTGATTCCTGGTCAGGGCATATGCCCAGGTTGTGGGCTTGATCCCATGTGGGGTGTGCAGGAGGCAGCCAATCAATGATTATCTCTCATCATTGATATTTCTATCTCTCTCCCTCTCTAGCTCTCTGAAATCAATAAAAAATAAAATATCAAAGTACATTTTTGGAAATATTTGGTAAAAGTTCTATACATGCAAGGCATTTTCTAATTTTCATTGTAATAGTTAAGGGAATAGAATATGTGTGTGTTTGTGTGCATGTAGCCTATCAGCACACATATGCAAGCACTATGCTAACAGGAAAAGTAGAATATAACAGAAATCTATTGTAGGCTATACAAAAGTGGAAACGGATGTTTTCTAAAAAAAGAAAAAAATTAGAGATGTTTCTTGAATAAATATGCGGCTTGGAAAAAAATAACCAAAAGCTCTCAACCCTTTGAAAAACATGAGACATCCAGTATAGTTGTTGAGAGCTCTCAAAAAAAAAAAAAAAATTCAAGGACAGCTACAGCCCAATCAAAGACTAGGCACACTCTTGCTTTTATTTTCAGATAATGACCACCAACCATTCTTATTCCTGTACAGAATAAATAAAATGAATTATTCATTTGTAACGAGCCTGTTAAGTCAGTGTCAGTTAATCATCACAGTAGGTCTGCATGCAGGAAGTATTACTCCTGTTCCACAGATGAGGAAACTGGAGCTCAGCGAGCTGAAGGACCTTGTTCAAAGTCATCTGGCTGGGAACGGGCTGGCTGAGAATCTAAGGGTTGCCTGGCTCCTTCGCTCACACTTAGCCAAGCTTTTCAGACCTTCTGGTTCAGGCACAGCTAAAGAAATCCAAAAATGTTGCAAACCTACGAAATGTGCCGGCAGAGAGTGAGGCTGTCAGAGATGCAGCTCTTCCCTGGGAGACATTTAGGCGTCTGAGTCTTGGCTGTGAAGAGTTTGAAAGGTGAGTGCCAAGCACTGGTTCCAACCTTTCTTTATTCAGGTTATCTCAAGTCAGAACCAGCAATACTAGTGCTTTTGAGAGATCCTAAATGCTTCCTTAAGAAGAGAAGGGCCTTAGTCATCCTGTTTGCATGATCCTAGTAGGTGTTTCCAGTTTCCTTCTTAACTTTAAAAAAATATGTATTTTTTATTCATTTCAGAGAGGAAGGGAGAGGGAAAGACAGAAACATTAAGGATGAGAGACAATCATTGATCAGCTACCTCCTGCATGCCCTACACTGGGTGGGGATCAAGCTTGAACCCCGGGCATGTGCCCTGACCCTGAATCGTACTGAGAGAGAGATAGAAACATAAATAATGAGAGAGAATCATTGATCAGCTACCTCCTGCATGCCCCACACTGGTGGGGATCAAGCTTGAAAACTGGGCATGTGCCCTGACCCTGAATCGAACTCTGATCAGCTACCTCCTGCATGCCCTACACTGGGTGGGGATCAAGCTTGAACCCCGGGCATGTGCCCTGACCCTGAATCGTACTGTAACCTCCTGGTTCATAGGTCAATGTTCAACCACTGAGCCACGCCAGCCAGGCTTAACTTTTTTCTTTTTAACTTTTCCTCAAACTTTCATTTTGAAATTGTTAACATGGCATGTGTTAAGCCCTTTCTAAAATGGTTAGGGACTCATCATGGGAAGAAGCAAATGTGCAAGCAAGTGTAGTTAAAAGTGTACTATTTCATTCTCTTCATAATTTTAAAGAATTAGTAATGGAAGGAATCTGAGGAGAAGTGGGAAGTGTGAAAAACAACAACAGACTGGGCCCAGGAGCCCCAGCGAGAAAGCCAGCCAACTCTTCCCCAAGAGACTTAAGTTAGTATTTAATTGCTCATTTTATCCTGCATAACTCATTTCTGAATACAAGAGACTGTCCTTGGTGCAACACGTATTTAGAAAAAGGGTGTGAGATGGCAACTATAAAAAATGTAGGAAATAACAACTTATTTGCTAATACTGGTGAGAATGTGGAGAAATTGGAACCCTTGTGCATTATTGATGGGATGTAAAATGGTGCAGTCGCTATGGAAAACAGTATTTATGTTACTCAAAAAATTAAAAACAGAATTACTATGTGTATATATAATATATATATATAAAATAATTGAAAGCATGGTCTCAAAAATGTTTGTATATTCATGTTTATAACAGCATTATTCATAATAACCAAAAAGTAGGGGAAACCCAAGTGTCCATTGATGGGTGACTAGATAAACAAAATGTGGTCTACACATACAATGGAATATTATTAAGTCTTAAAAAGAGAGAAATTCTGACACATACTACAACATGAAAAAAACCTTGAGGACATAATGCTAAGTGAAATAAGCTAGTCACAAAAGGACACATACTGTATGATTCCACCCATAAGAGGCACCTCGAATAGTCAAATGTACAGAGCTGGGAAGTGGAATGGTTGGTGGTTGCCAGTGGCTGAGGTCAGGGAGAAAACGTGAGTTATTGTTTAATGGGTGTAGAGTTTCAGTTTTTCAAGATGAAAAGAGTTTTAGATCTTGGTTGCACATCAATATGAATGCACTTTCCAGGACTGGATTGTACACTTGAAATAGTGAAGATGATAAATGTTATGCTATGAATATTTTACCATAATTAAAAAGAAAAAAATATATAACTCCTTCTGTTTATATGGTTCATTAAGTTGAAAGAATGTAATACTATTCAACTTAAACAGAGAAGCAAATTACCAGGTGAATACGGTAGAGCTCATAAAAATGGAAGGAAAAGCTGGGGGGACAGGCCTAAAACATGGCCCACAGCCAGCAGGTAGGCAATAGCAAGAACCAGTGGACAGCCTCTTAGGCTGTTGTCATCAAGATGACACTGTATTCAGGCTTCTTTGTCAGTCTGGGTCCAGGTTAAAGTGTGAGGTGGGAAGCATGAAACCGGCCCTACTTGGAACCCTTTTTGATCAAGAGCACCACTGAACTCATCTAAAAGCCCGAGGCAGAAAAGGCCAGGTCTCCTGGAGCCAAATTGAGAGGCTCCTCCCGAATAAGTAGGAATAAATGATGGACTTCAAAGACAATAAATGTCCACACCACCTGTGTGATAGGAGAACTAATAACTTTGCAAGGGGCAGGACACAGGATTTAGTCATGTCAGGAGCAATGAGAGGACTAGCATGCAGCACATGCACAATTAGAACTGTTTCAGAAAACATAGGATCTAAAATACTCTCAGGAATAATTATTTCAGAGAATTTCTTGAAGGAAAAATTATTTTTGTAAATGCTCCAATTATGACTCCTAGTGAAGGACTGTTCTACTAAGACTGGCAATACAATTGTAGCCAAGCAGCCACGCGTTACCCAGAATGAAAGCAGATTGACTGATAAGAGGATTTGCAGACTTTCAGATGCA